CGATGAAAGCTACACCTATTTTCTGGACACTTCTACACGGCTACATACCCATCATTTGAGAGCCCGAAATTTCATGCACTGAGCCCGAGATCCAAGTTCATGCATACATTATTTTGGACCGCTCAAGGGCCAGGGTTGCAACCAGCAGGTTGTTAGGTTTTGTGGGCTATATGAATATTATTGGTATTATGATTATTACTACTATTAGGGTCGTATAGGATTTGGGAATTAGGTTAAGAGGCATTTGTCCTGTGGCGGACAAGGTTGTTGGGGTAGTTCAGATTCTTGCCTGTCAGGTTTACAAAGGCAGCGTTTCCTTATGCATGGAGAACATGTCTCTTGATGTCACACTAAGCCCTGAACTCTACACCTTGAACCCGAAACCTTAAACCCTAAACCTTAAACCCTAAGCCCTAAGCCTGCATCCTAAACCATGTACCACAAATCTCATATCCGCCCTGGATTGTAAGACAGAGGCCAAAGTTCAGAGTCGGTGTTGAACAGCGTGCTGGCCTGCAGGATTTGGTTACTGGCTTCAGCTTTTTGGAGCTGGAGTGTTCCTGCAAGACACATCATGGTGTGGAGAACTTTGGAGACCTCCCCCTTGCATCCCTTCACACTGTGATTGGAGTTCGCACCGTTCTTATGCAATAGGTAATTACTCGTAACCGAGCGAAAAACAAATCGGATAAAGAATTCCTCCCCCCAGTTTCCATTTCATTTTCCATTTTCTTTTCCATTTGATTCTCCATTATTGGGGTAATAATGGACCCCAATTCATCACATGGTTTAGGCCGAGCCGATTAACATCGAGGACATCAAGCCAGTGATTGGCTTCGTGCCGCAGGAGCAGAGGGTCTTGGGCTTAGGGCTGAGGAAGGGGTAGTTGAGGAGAAAGTAGCTTTTTGGTGGAGGGGTTCGAAGAATTTTTATTTCTATGTTCAACGGCGCCGCGCTTTAGATAATGAGCTGGTTTGATCTTCCTTCTAGCTCTTGTTTAGGTAGACCTTCCAAAGCTACAAAGAAGAAACAAACAGTAGCATTCTTAACCCCAGAGTCCCGCAAGAGGCATGCGCAGCATTAAGTATGATTCAGTATGATGATAGCTGAGCATGACCTTCTAGGCAGGCTGGACTAGATGTTCTGCTTAAAAGCCTGAACCCTCTATATGTCCCTCAACCCTACTGTAAACCATAAGGGAGTTTGGCCTGGATATTTCAATGAAGCTTGGCATGGAGCGTGCGTCTTACGGAACTGAGCCAGGAGACAGGTAATGTAGACCCATGATTAATGCATCCCCTCCGTTTAAGGGCCTTAATATAAGGATCCCTATTATAATCCCTATTAAGGGGAGGGGGTCGATTAATTAGGGGTCTGGGTTAGGGCTTGATTTCAGAGACAGGTCAGGTGAAGATGGCTGGTAGTAGGCAATCCCCTTGTACCGAATCTGGGGCTCATGACTCTGGCCTAGCTGCCTGGAGGTATTTTCCTTTGAGCTTCTGACTACATTAGTTTCTTACAGGGCTTGACGCGGGCTGAAATAGAATGTCTCGGAAGCTGAACCCCTAAACCCTAAATCCTAAGCTTCTTTGGAGGATGACACCGTGCATGAAGGCAGGTGGTCTGCTAACGTGGGCTATCCGATCTAGGGTTTAGAGGTTTGGGTTTGGGCTTCAGATGCAGGGTCTTGAACTCCTAGCCAAGCTTTAAGTACATGCCATCAAACTTCCTCAGCTAGGGAAGGGCTGGAGCATTTGTGCTTATGAGCCTTGCCCAGTTGCAAAAGCGTTTGCGGGGCAGGGAGTGTAGGGGGTCAGGAATTGCGTATTCATGGTTGAGTGTAGAGTGTTCAGGGTTGCCATTTAGGTTTGTGAAGGCAGGAATGTCTAAGCATCAGTTTGCATTCAGAAACTAACCGGCAGTCTTGTAGCATAGTTTTACTTGAGTTTCTGGTTGCCAGATAATATTCACAGAGCTGCTTTTGCGTAGAGATTGTTGTTTCAGGGGTCATGCTCCAGGGCAGACTTTGTAAGAGAGCATGTGTGCTATAATCTAAACTCCTCGTATCCCCATTAATCAGCCCTACAATACTCCCCTATATAATCCTTTTGTGTTCCCTTTTGAAAAATTTCACTATAGCTCATGTAGATGTAGTCATTGACAGCAAATCATTGACAACACACCTGTAGCCGTCTTTAGCTGAAGCTGCTTGCTAATCATGCCGAGCTCTTCTTTTCTCCTTTGTTCCCGCAACGCCATATACATTGGTGCTCTCGAGCAACAGTTTCAATGCTATGCAATTTTCAGAATGACCAAGTACTGTTGTCAACGCTTTCGATCTTGCAGCTTCTGTTTCTGCCAGCAACAACAAGCAGTAGTTGTCTTCAAAATTGTTGCTTACTGGCAGTGGTACTGGTAACAGACGATGACCCCTACTACCACCACCACTGCCGGCGCCGCCGCCGCTGCTTGTGTTCCTTCCTCTCTGCTAGCTTCCCAGAGTCCTTGCTGTCGTTTTGTCTTGTGATGACTACAGTCAGTGCCTTTCTCACTGTTGCTTCTGGTGGTGGTGGTCTTGCCAGAGCCACCGGGACAACACAACAATCCTGTTTTGCTGTCATAGATGTCGACGAGAGGCTTGACTGTGCGGGAGAACATCTACTTCTCCGCGGCCAAGCGCATGCCACGAGGTGCACTGTAGAGCTCTGGCTGCTGTGGCCTCAAGATCAATCATGCTTTGAACAAATGCTAGGGTTAAGGGATCGCGGTGTAGGTTCGAGGGGATGAGGGTTACAAGCAGTCATAGGGTTACAACTCGATGGTTCAGGGTGCAGGGATGCTTGCACTTAGACGCTGCCCGGTCGCAAGAGGTACAAGCAGCAAGCGCCTGCGATCCATCACCAACGACGTGCTGCAGGCCTCAGTTGGCTTTCCTCTTTAGTGGCATTTCTCAAACTTGGATTTCCCCCAAGAAAGTCCTCGCAACATAGGGAACCCGAATGGGGGCCGCAATTCCGGGGCTCCATCCGGAATGTACCTGGTGCCCAAAAGCTATCTCATCTACGGGGCCTGAGTATAGATTGCTTCGACTTGGATCTTGGATGCTTTGTATAGATGCCGGAAGCCCTTTGGAAAACCTCGTGAAGAAAGGCCCAGTTTTTTGCAAGATTTCCCCCCAGCGTGATAATCCTACTTGGAGCGTCATACCTATGTAGTAAGGAGGTTAATAACTCCTATAGGCCATAGAATGACCTTAGTTATCTCTGTCTTTACCCTACTTACTAGCTAAGTCTCCCTGACTCTCCAAGTAGATTTCATTCCGTAGATTGTTTGCCCGATGCCTTGAAACTGGACAGTTGCCAGCCGGGATGACAAGTTCCCAGCTGAAGCTACCACCACTACTATAGAGTATTTTGGGGCTATATAGGGATAAAGGAAAAGAACATGGAACCTACTATTTAGGGTATATAGGGATATCATATATACAAAATGAGTGAAGGTGCGGCTTAGGGCTTTGGGCTGTAAACCAGAAGCTCAGACAGGTGTTGCAGCTGGAGTCCAAGCAGAACTTGCTGGTGGGCAATCGCGTGAAAACAGGCGCGAGCCTGAGCAAGTTCCCAGTCGAAGGTTCAGCTATTGTATTATGGAGCTTGCTGCATGTTCCGGCAACCATATACACAGGTCCCTTCATGCGTGCCTGTATGATAGGGTTTGTGGCGAGGACCCCGAACAGAAACTGTGGGTTGTATGCAGAGCATCCCCTTTCTGGAGCCACAACCTGCAGATGGATCATGTGTTCAGGGCGTACACATATCACAAGCATCGTGTGGGTTTGGGGAGCTTCCAGCTTAAGCATTCATGATTGCCAGCTCTGTGGGCTCACAAGGACAGCGCTCTCGCTCCATACACGCTCGTATTTTGGATTCAGATACCACTCGTGTTACATGATCTAGTGTTACATGCGCTAGTCTTACATGGCATACCTATACCCCTAAACCCTCAAGCCTATAACCCTAAACCCTCAACCCCAAGCCCTCAACCCTAAACCCTCAACCCTAAACCCTCAACCCTAAACCCACCCTCAACCCTCAACCCTAAACCCTATAAACCCTATCTGGTACCATGTTCTACTTTCTGAGCTCCAGGTGAGGGGCTAAGCGGCGGCCAGAAGAAGCGCGTAAACGTCGGCCTCGAGCTCGCGGTGCGCCTGATGAAAGTTATTGTAAACGCCTGAAAGGGGGTTACCTGGACCCCAAAAGTATGTAAACTAATGGCTTTTATGGCTATTATTAAGGGTTTAGGGCTATCATTTTACATACTTTTGGTGTCTAGGTATAGGTTTATAGAAAGGAGGGTTTTTACTGTGGGGCTGGTGAGAGTATGTAGGGTTCCGTAGGCGGAATATTTATGGGTGAACCTACGTCATGTCCAATTTTCTGGGCTCCACAGGCTAGAATCCTACTGGATATTGGGGGGGCCTCAAAGAACGGAACATGGTCCTTTCAGCAAACTGATTCGTGCTTTCAGCGAACTGAACCGCATATTCAGCGAACTTGTCCTCGTAGCCTGGGTCAGCTTGACTTAGCTCAGCTTGGCTGCCCTCGAGTCAAACACTCTCTCAGCCCCAAAGCCTAAGCCCCAAACCATAAACCCTATAACTCTAAATCCTAAGCCGTATAACCATACAAACCTAAATCCTGAACCCTATATATCCCCTAAACCCCAAACCCTAAACCCTAAAGCCCTAAACCCTAAACCCCCTAAACCCTAAAGGCCTAACCGCAAATCCCTAAAGGCCTGCCCCAACTTTAAAACCCTACAACCGAAACCCTAAACTTTGACACCCCAAACCCTAAAGCTTTAAATCCCCAAAAGCCTGCCCCACCATACTACCTAAAACCCTCTCAACCCTAAATCCCAAAACCCCAAATCCCTAAATCCCCAAAGGCATGCCCCAACATATACCCAACCCCAAACCCTAAACCCCCAAATCCCCAAAGGCATGCCCCACCATACTCTTCCTGGACGAGCCGACCTCCGGTTTGGACGCCACCGCCTCGTTGATGATCGTCCAGCAGCTGAAGAGGTTGGCTCTGGGTTGGTTGTTTTGGAAGGGGTTTTGGGGTTAAGGGTTTAGGGATGAGGATTTAGGGTTTACTGTTTGAGGATTCGGGTTCTCAGGGTTTCGGGTTTATGGGATTCGGGCATAGGGATTAGGGTTGAGAGGGTTTAAGGTTTAAGGTTTAGGATTTAGGGTTTGCAGGGTTCAAGGCCTTGTGAGCCCCATGAGTTGGGTGTACTAGGAGTGTATACGATGGTGAAGAAGCACAAAAAGTTTCAACAAAACCCGAACTCTAGACACTTCTGTGTTCAGTTAGGGACAAGGGTTTAGGCTTGGGGTTGGTTGGGGTCAGATGAAGTGGAGAATGCTCTTCGAATCAGGGTTCACGGCTTGCAAAAGGTTTCTGGAGGCTCTGCTAAGGCCAAGAAAACCGTAACGGATCCAGCGGGCGATTGGAACTTCAAAGTACCTGCAGGAGTTGCGGAGACCCTGCGTGTCTGTTAGATAGCGACAGCGAGTGAGCGAGCGTGAGAAAGCGAGAGCACAACCTTGTCGGATTTGCCCTTTTATGCTTCGAATTCTAGACCCACGCCTTTAAGTGCAGATTCTGAAGCTTATTTCTTTCGCTATGGTGTAACCTGCAACCGCTCACCCTTTACCCCCCAGACCCTTTCAAACGCTATACCTCAGGTCAATCCCCCCTACAGAATAGCCCCTAAAAAACCTACAATAGTACCTTGTGGCATCCATTACTCAATGGGGGACTGACCCAAGCCATTCCACCCTAAACCCTAAACCCCTAAACCCTAAACCCTAAACTCTAAACCCTATAGACCCTAAATGCCAAACCTATACTCGGGAAGACGAAGCCCTCAGTCGTTGCAGGATGGCCAGACTCGGCGTGACCATTGTCATGGTAATCCATCAGCCGAGATATGACCTCTTCACCCTGTTCCTGCTGCTGTAAGGGGTTTAGGGTTTAGGGTAAGGGAAGTTGCAGAGATTTGGGTCTGGGGTCAAGGGTTTCTTGAGGATTTGGTGCTGTAGGGTTGAGGCTTCAACTGGTGAGTTCGGGTTTGACCAGGCTGTGAAGGGTTTTGAGGTTTCGGGTGTTAGTTTGTGCAAGAAAAATAGTTCTTTAGTTCCTTTTTGTGGCTTTGGCCTTCTTCATGTTCGGCCGCACCTTGCTCAGTTCTAAATTTAATCTCTGATCCTAACACCGTGGTGCCCTTGCCTTTCGCCTGTTTCCCACGTGAACCTACTGGCCAATCTCAAGCGTTGAAAGCTGGCCTTGTTTTCTATACACTCCAAAATTACATAAGCATCAACAACTGACCGTGCAATTTCTGCACAATCCCCATTGCTTTACACCCTTCCAATGCCGCCGACGCTGTGCACTAAGCACCAATTCCGCGATCCTTGTAAGTCCTGAGCCCTCACTGAACCGAAGCCCGGAACCCAGAAAGCCAAAAAAAGTAGATATTCTAAACCATGGGTGACGTTAGTACACTAAAACACCAACAATTCCCAAGGTTTAGGGTACTTGGGGTAATGCACGATTCGGAGTATGAAGCGTATAAACCTGAAACCTCCAATCCTGGACGCCAAGCCGTGACGCCAAGGTTGGATGATGTCCTGCTCCTTGGCACCTTGGAGGACAAGGGCGGACGACTTGCTGCTGGGCTTGAGAACTCCCATGATACCATAGAGGTGATATAGTAATGTGGGGAGAGGGATATAGGGATTATGTAGGGATAATGGCAAATAAAAGGGAAGCTACTGGACTATGATACCAAAGTTTCCAAGTTATGAAGTATTCAGGGTCCTGCATCAGGGCCGGAGTCAGTCTCGCTCCACCAATGCCAAGAATTTTGGGGTAGTGAAGCTGGCTTAGGTTTGTTCTTCCATCAGCTGTAGTAGTCTGGATGTGTAGAGTACTTCTGACAGTGCCACCAAGCAGTAAGTTGAGAGGGTTCCTCCTCAAGGGCTTGGGCTTGCGATTCAGGGGCGCCAAGCGTTGCCTAGCGGTACACGTTTGATGAAAGCTCAACTTATAGATCCCACTGATGTTTTGTTTGGAGTTTAGGGTTTAGCGTCCACTGGAAGGCTTCAAGGACTGGCGGTCCTGTATCAGCTGCGGTTACATGACATGCCCTGTGAACCCAAGCGGGATACACAGCCCAAAAACCTCTACCCTCAGGTGGCACCCAACTTCTGCATGGCTGTTTACAAGCATCGTTCTATGACTTACGGCCCCGCATCTCAGGGACCTTTACGTAGGGAGACCCGTAGAGCTTTAGCTGTACATGTCCTCAGAGGCTGTTTGCCAACAGTGCTTAGTTTCTGAAGCAAACCAAACCCTGCAAACCCAAGACCCAAGACTAAATGCTGCAAAGCCCAAAGCCCCCAACAACTAAACCCTACAAAGCCCCAAATTCCCAAATCCACCCCTACAAACCCTTTACTAAAAACCCTGTAAACTAAAATCTAAACCCTGAACGATTCAAGGCCTACGTGGGTCCTACGCTGCAGTGCAAGTCCCACTTTCAGAGCTACGGTCTGAGGATGCCAGAGCACCTTGGGCCAACAAAACGAGACAGATAGCTATAGACATTTCAGTGTAAAGTACGGCACACTTTTTAGTGGCTTATAGGGGTTAAGGTTATAAGGGCTTATGGGTTAGGGTTATAGGGTTATAGGGGTTATGTTAAGCAGCTTGGAGGTAGTTATTCAGGTCGGTGTGAAGCTTGTTGCTTGTTGGGGTTAGTCCTCATATGAGCTATAGTAAAAACTCCTTAAAAGGGGGTTATATGGGGGATTATATAGGGGACAACTACAGGGACTACTACGGGGGATATTAAGGGGGATACTAGGAGTTCAGACTATAGGTCACATCATCTTCGAGAGGGCCTCTTCTTGGAGGGTTTAGAGTTTAGCGTTGCAGTTCCACAGCAATGAATGTAGAACCCGATGGCCCTTTACAATCGCCTTAAACCCTAAACCCTAAGCCCTAAACCCTACACCCTAACCTTTACAATTGCCGCTATTTTGAGAGCCCGCCAAGAACGACGCTGAACCTTGTCCTTCTTTCCTCGACTGTGAGCGTGCTTCTCGACCCTGATGTATACCTGAACCCCAAAAGTAGGTAAAACAATAGCCCAAAACCCATTAGTATAGCAAAAAGGCCATTATTCTACATACTTTTGGGGTCTAGGTATTACCCTTGCTCTACTGTGGATGGAGGAGCTCTTCCACCATCCTGTTCTCTAAGACCTTAGAAATTTCAGACGTTTCAGTATAGTAAGATCCTACCTGGTGCAGTATTTGCTCCATCCGCAGCAGCACGGTGGTTAACAGCAGAAGAGGGGTTCAATTCACATCCCACAAATGAATGTCACTTTGAGTCTTCAGCCTGACACAAACTCAGCAGTGCATACCCTACCCTCCGACCTACGCCCCTTCTCTTCCTATTGATGTACTGGTGACAGGGGAGTAAAGGAATGAACTACGGGTATTCTTACAAGGATTCCAGGAGGACTGCTGCAGAGATCCACCCCTCCACTCCCTGCATACTAACAACGAGCATGAAACCCTACTTGGAGGCTCAGGGCATTCAAAACCCAATTAAGATTGCCATTTATCACCCAATTATGATCATATTGGGGGGACTTAAGCCTGAAGTGGGCTCATTGGGCTATTGAACCCTAAGCCCTAAACACCCGGAGCCATGCGCCGAAGCCGCAAGGAATTGGAACCCTGCAGATTGGATGATGGACATCCTGAGCGGACAGAGCTTCGTCGCTTAAAATCGGGTATTCTAAAAGCCCAAACAAGACAAAGCGTATCTAGGGTTTACAAGGATTATGGTAGATTATTTCTGGAGAGGACTTCAGTGGAATCGATGCGAAGCTAGCGCGAAGAGCGAAGAGGCCTCTTAGGCCGAGGCTTATTCAGTGTCACCCGTGGTTGGCAATTGGTAAAGATTCCTGTGTTTGGCCACGTCTTAAATTTCCTCAACCCACTCTGGACCGTGTAAACCGCAAAATGGTCTACTTCCAAGAACATGTACCACCGAATGCTAACACTAAGCCACAAACCTTCTATCCTTGAAGTCCTGAACTCCGCGTCCCCAAACTTAGAGCACTAATGCGGTCAAAACCCAACATCCTAAACCCAAATCCCAAACCCTAAAACCCTAAACCCCCGGAGCCCAAAACAAGTGGCCCAACCTAAGCCCTCAGGAACCTGGACCAGGCTAGCTGCAGCAGCTCTTCCCAGATTGCTTTAGCGTTCAGGGTTTTCGAGGGGGCTTAGGGGTTTAATGCCTAGACCCAAGAATATGCATAGCTTTTAGGACATTATTTTACCTATGTTTAGGGGTCTGGTAAACTCTAAACCCCAAGCCCCAAATCAAAAGCCCTAAACCCTAAACCCCAAATCCTAAACCCGAAAATCCTGAGCCTAAACCCTAAAACCCAAATCCTAAATCCAAAGCCCTAAACCCTAAAACCCTAATGCCCTACATGGTTAGGACTTCAGGATCCAAGGTGGAGGCTCTGGGATGCAGGGTTGAGGATAGGGTTTAGGGTTTAGGGTTTCGGGTTTCGGGGTTAGGTGTTTAAGGTTCAGGGCAAGGGCTTAGGCTTAGGATTTTCGAGCTTGGGCTTTAGGTTAAGGGTTTAGGGTTAAGGGTGTATGGCTTAGGATTTTTGGGTTTGGGGTTAAAGGTTAAGGCTGTATGGCTTAGGATTTTCGGGTTTGGGGTTACGGGTTTAGAGTTTAAGGCTTAGCAAGTCTCGGGTATGGGGTCTCGGGCCTTAGGGTTCCTCAAAATACTAAAAGATCCGGCAACTGCTAGCACGGAAATGGTTAGCAATGGTCTCTAATGCTGATATATTTGGACCGGCTGTGCCTGTGGAACTGTAGGGCTTATGCTGACTGAGCAGAATTTCATTTGGGGATATTCCTGTCCTCAATATAGAGTCTCATTCTCTCCTTCTTTGGCGGTAGCTATACAGTAAGAAGAAGATAGTTGTATTTGGTTCCGCCACCATTCCTGTGTGGCCACTTAGTCTAGGCAATTAGCTATCCCCACACAGACGGGAAGCTGTTGTCCATGACTTCCATGAAACTGTGGTTGCAGCTCTTTGAACCCGCAAGACGACCCCTACACTCCTCACATGTCTCCCCATGTTGCTCTTATCCTTCAGGGATCACCCATTCCTTTTTCAGACCTGTGCACAAAGCAGCCTCCGAGGCATGCCAATTTCAGAAATTCCGTCCGCCTTGTTCGTGCAGCTCGGCACTTATTTCTAAGACCGTAAGGGTCCAAGGAAACAAATAATAGGGTTGTAGGGCCTAAATACCATAGATATTAGAGTATTTGGGCCCTAAAACCTCATTATTTGGGTCCTTGACCCTTTGGGAAACGTTCTGAGTGCCCCTGAAGTATGGACTTAGAGGCCAGGAAGGCTGGTGTGAATACCACATCAGGCAGGGGCCTGTGTAGAATAGGGCGTCCGGACACCTTTTTGCTATCGTTGCATGAGGATAGTTAATTGACAGTATCTATAATTGTCAGGACTTTTCGATGCATTTCAGCCTTTGATGGTCATTGGAATGTTGGGAATGCAGGGCTCAGGGCTGAAAACGCATTTGGGAGTTTTTCAGATGTCCGCTGTCTGGTTTTAAAGGAGACCCCTGTCCTTTCCCCATGAGCCCCACATGTCCCTACATCCCCTATTGAAAAGACCCCATTTACTTCAGGGGGCTGGAATAGAAATCACAGGGGCAGAAGAAATCACCCTCATCCCTAAACCGTGTGGTCGCGCTCCAAGGCATGAATCAGCAGCAGCCATGCCATAAACTTGAAGAACTTGAAGGTTCATGGAACTTAGTAACTACTTATAACAGGGCTTATAACCCTACTTGTAACCCTCCCTAAATGGCCTTATAGGGGTTACCCCAACTAAAAGTAGGGTTATAACCCCAGTTATAAATAGTTACTAAGTCCCATGAACCTCCAAGAATGCAGCTTGAAAATCCAGCGGAGCCAAGCTGGGTGGCTGTGAGGAAACTTAAAATAAGGCAATATAGTAACCCTAAGCATCCAAGGATTCATATCTTAAGGAATTTGGGCCCAAAGACCAAACTATATAAGGCTTTTACGTGATTCTAATGCTTAGGGTAAAGGTATATCACATAGGGTTCAGGGTTTCTATAGTAAGAAACCCTATTATCTAGTAGACCCAGGTTATGGTAAATGTTTAAACTCCTGAGCTGCAACCTAGAAGATCTCGGTCTACATACTGACATGGAGACAGCCCAGAGCCTCAACCCTAAGCTGTAGCTTAGGGTTTAGGGTTTAGGGTTTAGGTCTTACCAGCCAACATCGCTCATGTGTCAACCACTCGAGTATCAGTTTTTCTCAACAATGGCCTAATTGTTTTTTTTTACTGGCACCCTATGTCTTGCGAGGCTGGTGCGAAGCACTGAATCCAGAACCGTAAACGCATGTTTGGTATGCGTACTGCCAGGACCGCCCCCCAACTAATTACTCCTGAGGTTAGCGAATGAACCCGTAAATCCTAGACCTTCAGCACAAAAAACAAACATCGACATTACAGTATTGCACCTACTGCACAACTATGGTATATTGTTGCGTTAACGAAAGTGAGTAATTTAGTTTTTGATCAGGAGACCCCATGATGCAATCCAGATAGTTATTCATGATAACGCTTAACCGTAAACCCTACACTATGGAAACCTATCTAAGTTCTGCAACAGCAAGCCAGTAAACCCTCAACTGTCACCTGGGTTTCTGCAAGGAAATGGAAGAACCACCCAGAGCCTGTAGGCCAATTCCAACCGAGGAGGCCTTTTATCAGATTAGGGTTTCGGGTTTGAGGGTTTAGGGTTTAGGGTTTAGGGTTTAGGGGGGTTTAAAGGTGTAAGGTTTCTTAGGCTTGTGTATGGAGAGTTGCCAAGAGTTTGACCCAGCATGGGAGATGCCTTCAATGCTATGGGCCATGTTATACACAGAACCCCAAACGAGACCATCATTTTCACAATCATACCATGTAGGATTGACGGTAGAGGTGTGAGAGTTCGAGGATTTGGATTTGCCATGTTTGGGGGTGGAAGGTTATACGTAGGGTGTAGGGTTTAGGGTTTAGGCGTCATATTAGGATGTTGTGGCTGGGGGGGGGAGATGGGACCCAGGCGAAGAATGTAGGATGAAGGTTTCAAGGTAGAATGGGTCTGAAAGGGTCCTTCGTCCAAGTTGAGCCTGCTTTTGCGTCAAATGCTGTTTCGCCAGTTGTCATTTCATATGGGCGTCCCCAGCTGTTGGAAATGAGTGAAGAGTTAGATGCTGGAGTCCTCTTTTTTGCCGTAATTATGCAGGGACCCTTGGGCCCTGAACCGCAGCGCCCAGGTACCCAAATAGCATATCAGTCCCAAACTGGGGTCGCAATGATACTTCGGGGGGCCAAGGCATGCATTACTTGGGTACTTGGAGCCTGAGGATTCAGGATTGGGTGTGAGCCCTTCCATCTCGACAAAGTGGCCCTTCATCTCGTCGTGAAAAGTGCTCTCCAAACCGGACCAGGCGGGGTGCTTTAGTGTAGAAGTGCGAACAATTGCCAACATTACCAACATTACGGCCTAACAGTTCTGACATAGGTATAGTCTCATTTGTTTACGCTAGTTGACATCAGTGGCCTGCATACTTAGTCTTCAAAGTATGCATATAGGACCCTTGAGACAGTTAAGTCCGCCGTCATCCGCCCAAAGCACTCTATATAGCCCAAGCCCTACTCAAGACCTAGATCTTAATCTTTTTGGGGTTTCAGAATCATTGCTGCCAGGCAAGAGGACCGCATCGAGAAGCAGGAAGTGCAGATTATCAAACAACACTGCAAGGACCTGCGAGTTTATTCAGACTCCCAGTACCGAATCCAGAAGGGGAGCCCGCGTAGCCTCCTTGTACCTCCATGTACTCCCAGTATATGCAAATATGTCTTTATACATATATATATATAGCTGCATATACATGCATACACGAAACCTAGGGTTTTCGAGGGCACCCCCCCTTCTTGACCAGACTCCCTTCATGGTTGTAGCTGGTAGTCCATCATAGGAACCTGTAGGATTGAGCGAGCAGGCATTTGTATGTGAAATCAGTCTTTGGAAGCCGTAGACCTTAAAATTCAGCTCTAGTTGAGGTACCCCAAGCCACTGAACCATGTACTCTACGCGTAAACTCAACGCCCTGAAGCCTGAAACCCTGGTGGGATCCCAACGTAGACCCCAGAATACTATAATCCTTTTTACAGTCGGACCCCAAAAGGTATTCCTAAGTTTGGGACACCCTAAATCCGAATCCCTCAACCCTAAACCCTATATATCCCCTAAAGCCCTCCATTATGGCGCCCCTAGCTTTGGGAACCCTCTATACCAAATCTCTCAGGGAAACCTGACTGTGAGGACTGCTGGAACGATGCAGGTGTGCCAAGCCACTCCAAGCACCTTGGCATGGAAGGGCTTAGGCTGTAGGGTTTAGTACTTAGCCATTAGGGTTAAGGCTCTAGGGTTTAGGGTTTCGGCTTTAGTGTTTATTGTTTAGAGTTTAGAGTTTCGGCTTCAAGGCTTAGGCTTCAGGGATTAGGCTCTAGGGCTTAGGATTTATGAGCCTTCAGGCTTTAGACATGAGCCTTCGGGTTGAAGGCTGGAAGCAGAGGACGCTGTTCTGTTTTTTTTGGGGTTTGGGTTAAATGTTCTTCAGCAAGA